ATGATTTTTCTTCCTTTTGTCTTCCAGGCTTAACTGATTTTACTGGGAGATGAGCTTTGTAAAAAATGGTGGTCTGACTCCACACTGCATATGTCAAGGCCAGAGGCTCTGGGGAAAGTCTGCCTGTTCTCTTAGGGATCATACTAGCCAGGGGCTATACTTTAGTTTCTTCCAAAACACCATCATCATTTATTTATGATGCTTAATAAGATCCAGACTTGACCTTAATGTCATCAAACAGATCATCTTAATTTATATTAATGTGGGTGAAGATCTTTTTCCTAAGGTGCGCAATAGAAAATTGAAAGGAGGTGGCCTGGTAAGCTTTTCTTGCCCTTTGTAGTGGAAACATGCCAGGAACACCCAGGCCTGGCTTTGAGCAAGGGCCCACCTCTGGTAATGCACACGTGTACGGTTTTCTGTTGTTCCCTTGAGGGACCCTAAATATGAATTGTCAGCGGTGTCATCATCAAAGGAAGAATCCAGACCTCCTCATCCCGCTCATGTTCATGTCCCCATCTTTTCTCTCCTTGGTGTGTGGGGGTGGGAGGTAAACAGAAGGAAACGTGGGCAAGGAGAGGCTTTTGCAAACAGTTACCGTGCTCCGCTGCTAACTGAAAGTTTGGAGGTTCAATTCCACCCCAACCGGAAGAAAGGCCTGGCAATCTACTTCCAAAAAACCAGCCATTAAAAACTCTGTGAGGCACAGTTCTACTCTGATGCACATGGGATCACCATGAGTTGGAGTTGACTCAACTGCAACTGGTAAAAAATAAAATTAAAAAAAAAAAAATGGGATTCTAGCTTATCTGTGAAATAGCACTGAGTCTCTCGTGAGGCCAGATTAAATGGGAATTGGAATATTAATGCTACTGGCTTCAGGAATAGAACAAGAGATATAGGCAGGGAACAAAATGCTAGGAAAATTAGAAATTAAAAAAAAAAATGTATTGAGGGAAGGAAAGAGTCAGAGAGAGAGAGGATGAAACTGAGCTACCAGAGTGTGAGAGAGAGGAGAGCGTGTGAGGGCGACTGAGAGAGCAGTGCCCGTGTTTAGGCCAGGATCTGGCTGACAGCTGAATAAACTCCCTCTTCTCCTCACTCCGAGGCATCTGATCAGACACCGTGTGAGCCCGTGGGCCTGTCATGCTGTTGGGAACGGCAGGCCTGGCTCCAAAACAGGTTACTTTGGCCAGGTCTCCTTCAGCCCTGGGAGGTGTGAGGTGGTGGAGTAGGCAGAGCTTAGATGGGGCTTTCCCCGGGGCCACCAGCCCAGGATCAGGACCTTCACGTTTCTCAGTCTTCTGTGGGGATGGGCGGTGTCTATGGGTGTTTCTCAGCTGCTCCATGAAACCACCACCAGGACCACAGTGGGGAAGGAAGAACTTCTCCCACAGACCCTGGGAGGACAGATGTCTCCCCCATCCTGGTAGAACCAGGAATGTCTTCCCCCTACTTAGGAGTGAGGGTAAGCAAAAAGATGCTTTCTGTACCTCCAAGACTCTTGTGACCAAGAAAATGACTTTAATGTTGGTGCCTCCAACATCACAGTTGCCACTTGCTATGAGAGGGAGGTTCCGACTTCAGCTAAGGTGCCAACAAGGGCCTAGGGCAGAGCTTCTGACTGGTGCTAGAAGGAAGAGGTAGGAAGGGAAGAGTAAGAAATGAGAACCAAGGAATGGAGAAGCAGGATGAAGATGGGAAGGGAAGTTTATCGATCGTCTCCTACGTGACAGGCACTTTACATGTGTATTTATGGTGGCAGCTTTATTGAGATGTAATTCATATACTATACAATTCACACATTTAAAATGTATAATTCAACAGTTTGTAGTATATCCACAGAGCGGAGCAACCATCACCACAACCAGGTATAGAACATTTTCATCACCCCAGAAGGAAATCCCATCCCCATTAGCAGTCACTCCTTATTCCCTGAGCCACCAGTTCAATCATCAGTCTATTTCTCTCTGTACATTTGCAGATAAATTGAATCGTGCAATATGTGGTCCTATGTGATTGACTTATTTTGCTTAGCAAAAGTACTTCTATTGCTGAATAACATTTCATTGTATGTATGTACCACATTTTGTCTGTCCATGAATGGACATTTGGGTTGTTTCTACCTTTTGGCTGTTGTGAATAGTGCTGCTGTGAACTTTCATATACAAGTATTTGTGTGTACATATGTAGTATTCATTTAATTCCCATAACAACAAATAAGCATTGTAATTACCCATTTATAATGACAACTGCAGCTCAGAGAGGTTGAGTAATGATTTGGAGACTGAGAAGCTTCTTTTGATTTGATTTGATCATGCTAGAAGAGGAAATAATACGGGACTTCCCTTCACCCTTTCCAGGGTCATGATACACACCACTGAGTAAAAAGAACAATGAAAGGAATGAGAGAAAGTACGTCAGCAGGGCTGCTGTAGGCTCCTGCAGCCTTGTCTCGGGAGGTAGGTGCCGGAGTGGGGGTCGGGGGCCCCACGTTTTGCCTCTCCTATATCGAAGGTCTGTGTGCAGTGCCCCCTCCTCCAGCTTGCTTGCCTTATGTCAGTGGCAGACAAGAAAATTGGTCAAGAACAATTTTCCACCCAGAAAAATTGGTGGAGTAGCCAGCCTTGTGAGGAGTCAGCTGGGGAATCTCATTGTGGTGGGCTCTGTCAGTGATGGGGGGGTGGGGGTGGGGGGCTGTTAACTGCTGGCAATAAGAGCCCCAAAGAGAGGACCCAGCATGGACCCCAAGGCTCTAGGTGTGGAACAGCAGGGTCATGGGGCTGCTGGCTCCACTTTCCTCTGCCTCCGGAGCTTTCCCAGAAAGCGCTTGGCCGTGGGAAGGTGGATGATGTGCTGCCCCGTTAATGTAACCCTGATGGCTTGGCAGAACCCAAGCCAAAGCTGGTAATCATTGACCCTTGGAAGCTCCCCCGGGCAGAGCAGTAAAATCAACAAGAATGCCGGCTCTCAGTTAATCCAGGGCCCTATGGTTTGCCCCAGAGCCTTGCCCTTCTCATCACCTTTCCAGGAAGCATGATGGCTATTCCAGCGTGGACACTGGTGTAGAGAAGCCCAGAATTAAGACATCATAGAAAATGATATGATTGGATCCTTTTGTCACTGCATGGTTGGCACTTAAAAGAGAAATTTAAGCTGGAAATAGTATTACTGAACACTTTCTATGCCCAAGTGCTGTGCTAAGTTATTCCTGCACATCTTGAGAGAGCCACAAATGTCCCCATTCTTCAGAGGAGGACAGCGACCACTGGAGAGTTTAAGTAGGGCCCAATGTCAGAACTAGTAATCGACTGACTTCAGATTCAAATCCCACAGACCCAGATCTTAAATAGGTCACTTGCCGAGTGTGAGAGGGAGAATTCAAGCATAGCTAGAATGTGGACTCATCCAAACTCCCCTCCATGGCCAAAGACTGGTGCTCTGTGCCTTCCTTTGTGCCTGCATGAGAGCTGGGCCACATTGGCACCCTTTGCCTGTGGGTGTGACATTGTACATATGAGTCCCTGAGTGGCTTATACTCAAGGGATTAGGTGAATCATTCTCCCATTTTATAATTGCCAAGGTTTGAAATGTTATATGTTAAGCTTCTTAAAAACAAAACGTACTCTTTTTGCAGACACTCAGGAAAGTGTCTTCAGGGCCTCCTGTCCACATGGAATTCATTCGTTTCTGGGCTGGAAAGACTGAGTTGATGTAATACTAGCCCAAACCACAGAGATCTAGAAGGGTCAGACTAATAATAGGATTCCTGTGTACATGATAAATACAACTTTTTGTAAAAGTTTGAATTCTTCCATTAAACCCCAGTACCACTTGAGGTGCGTTCTTCAGTGGATGGTATTTGGGAACAGTGCCTTTACAGATGTGTTCATTTTTCAGGACAATGACCCTCTCCCCAACGCACATACTTGTACAGGATTAACAAGTGAGAAGGTGATTATTTAATTTTTAAAAATTATTCTTTACTTTATAAGATAATTCACTAAAAGATTCCTTTAAATATCTAATTATTTTAGTGTACATGTAATATGATTTATTATACACAATTTCTGTTCACATACCATCCTTTGAGAAAACCTCTGTCTTAGTCATCTAGTGCTGCTATAACAGAAATATGACAAGTGGATGGCTTTAACATACAGAAGTTTATTCTCCCACAGTCTAGTAGGCTAGAAGTCTAAATTTAAGGCATCTGCTTCCGGGAAAGTCTTTCTCTCTCTATCGACTCTGGAGGAAGGTCTTTGTCATCAGTATTCCCCTGGACTAGGAGCTTCTCAGCGCAGGGACCCCAGTCCAAAAGACTCACTCTTCTCCTGGCACTACTTTCTTGGTGGTATGAGGTCCCCATATTTCTCTGCTCGATTCTCTCTTTTTTACATCCCAAAAGAGATTGGCTTAAAACGAAATCTGAACTTGTAGATTGAGTCCTGACTCATTAACATAACTGTCGCTAATCCCATCTCATCAACAGCATAGAGATAAGATTTACAACACATAGGAATTTCACATCAGATGACAAAATGGTGGCTAATCACACAATACTGGGAGTCATGGCCCAGCCAAGTTGACAGATATTTTGGGGGGACACAATTCAATCCATGACAACCACTAACTGAAACGTTGGCAGTTTGAATCCACCCAGAGGCACCTGGGAAGAAAACCCTGGCAATGTACTTCTGAACAATCAGCCACTGAAAACCCTGTGGAGCATAGTTCTATTCTGACACACATGGGGTCTCCATGAATCGGTGATTGAAACTTCACCCAGAATTCTGTAGGGATCAGTCACGTCTCTCCCGACCTCAGTTCCCATTAGAATATGGTAGTCATGATTATTGTGTTTTACCAGGTTTCTTCCTGCTGTGCCTTTACCCCAATCCTGAGTCCTGACAAAGACAACTTGGCAAACTCCAAGCCCAACAACCGGAACACAAAACCCAGCAGCTCTTATTGGCCACCACACGTTTCACTGACACACGAAGCTTTGAAGATCTTCTCCTGGACCTTGTCAGGCCCAGGTAAGTGGCTTGATTTTCACATTGACTTCTAAGTCAATAAGCCATTGGAGGAGCCAGGATACAAGAATGGGGGATAAGTGTTTGGTTATGGGAACTCAAGGGGACTTGGGCAAAGCCACCTTTACCAAATCATCTGCACTATTCTGGTCCTGTGATGGCTGAAGTGCCACCATTAGAGAGTAGTTTGGGCTGAATATTGCCCTCTCCACATCCCCTTTTAAAAATCACACACTTTGAGTCACTCACACCTTACTATGTTTATTTATTTGCTTGACAAACACTTATGTAGCCTCTACTCTGTGTCTGTCGCTCGGCTGAGTGGGCACTGGGGACACCGTGAAGGAGCAGACAAAAGTGGTTGCTGCCCTCAGATCAGCTTACAACTAAGTATAATTTAAAATTATGATAAATGCTAAAAATAAAAAAATAAATATTATAAGGACAGGGGACCAGATTTAAACGGGTGGGGGCAATCAGGAAACCCTCTCTCTTTGAGAAACTGGCATTCAAGTTCTTTCTGAGAATCTGATATTTAAGTTGAGGCCAACTCAGCTGAGAGGGGAAAGGGGAGTGCTAGGTGTCCCCAGCAGCAGAAATAGTGCATGAGGTAGGCTCAGAGAGGCTAAGCCAGGTTCCCAATTTTCCATAGTTGGTACGAGGCTGGGCTGGGCCTCAGATGGGTGTCTCCTTGTCTGTGTGTCCCCAGCCTGGTGCCTAGGCATGATCTTGGCACTCAGCAAGTGCTTGCTGGACTGGTGGATCCAAGGCCAGGGGCTGGCCGTCTGCAGAGCGGTGAGCATAGCATGGCTCAGTTCACCACTCCAGCAGAGTCTTCTCCAATCGAGAGGAAGCTCTCATCTTCCCTCATTAGCCATCATCCTCACACAAGCCTGTCTGTAAAAGACAGGGTCACTGGCCAGTCCACAGATGTCTCCATATAGAAACTGTCACACCCATAACTTCAAACCATCGCCTGTGACGAGCTCAAGCCAAGACGGTCTGTAGACACTTCCAAAGTGAGCACAGTGCTTTACAGTTCAAGATCTTCAACTGCTTCCACAATTGCTCCTTAATTCCTTTGGCATCTTAACCATTTCTGAACTCGACCTGGCACAACAAGGCCCTTCTGGTGACAGAGGGCCTGTAGCCTTCTCCTGCATGCGCCCTCGGGTACAGTCCAGGTGGTTCTGCACCTTCTCCATGGAACCCCCTCCCTCCCACACACCATGCTTTCCTCCTCTTGGTTTTGTGTTTTTATGTTCTTCCGTATCCCTAGAAACCTCTCATCTCCTGTCCTCTGCTTCCCTTCTCTCCCTTCTCCTCCCCTGTCTTCTGTTCTCCTCTCTACCAATCTTCCCCATCTTTCTAGAAAAATTTGGTTCCCTCCCCCGACCTGTCAAGCTATAACCATGCATGGTTCTCTGATCTCTTTCATTAAACAAGGAAATACACGGGAAATCACCATTCCTGACACACAGTAAGTCTGTGCTGAGTAAATATTTGCCCTCCCTCTGCATTGTTTAGTAAGTATTTTGTGTACGCCACAGGGCATACAAGCAAGCGCTTCTCAGCCAGGCAGATCTACATTCTTATCTTTGCTCTTTTGCTTTCTGCTTCGTGACTTTAGGCAAATTGCTTATGGTCTCTGAGTATTAGTTCCTCACCTCCTAGGGTTATCATGAGATTTAAATATGATAATGTACGTAAGAGACTTTGCACTGTGCCTGGCCCAACCCAGGGAATATCTCTTGCTGGTGCCTTCTGACTCATAGCGACCCTATGTACAACAGAACGAAACACTTCCCGGTCCTGCACCATGCTCACAATCGTTGTTATGCTGGAGTCCATTGTTGCAGCCATTGTGTCAATCCATCTCCTTGAGGGTCTTCCTCTTTTTCAGTGACCCTCCGCTTTACTAAGCATGATGTCCTTCTCCAAGGACCGATCCCTCCTGATGACACCATCTCCAAAGTATGTGAGACGTAGTCTCGAAATTTCACTACTCTTGGAGCCCTGGTTAGCTCGGCTGCTAACCAAAACGCTGGTAGTTCAAATCCACCAACTGTTCCTTGGAAACCCTATGGGGAAGTTCTACTCTGTCCTATAAGGTTGCTATGAGTTGGAACAGACTCGACAGAAATGGGTGGGGATGGGGGAGGGGTCACAGTGGTTAAGCACTCAGCTGTTAACCAAAAAGCTGGTGGTTCAAATCCTCTGTGGTAGAAAGATATGGCAGTCTGCTTCCATAAAGATTACAGCCTTGGAAACCCTATGGGCAGTTCTACTCTGTCCAGTATGGTCGCTAAGGGAGGCACCGTTTGCGTTGTGCTCCAGGGGGCGCTCTTTGTACAGAATTAACGTGTCTCCTGGAGCTGGGTGGTCAGGTCACTAAAGCCCTCAATGGCAGCCTTATCTGCTATTCCACACCCACTCAGTCCCACTCTTACTCTTTATTGATTGGAGGCTGTGCACTTCCATTATTACCTTGGTCTACCCTATCACTCAGCTCAGTCCTCTCACGCCCCATAAGACAACAACTTCCTTTGATAAAGTGCAGAACTCTCTGAAGTTTAAAAGAGAATAGTTTTTAGAAAATATCCCGAGGAGGATGCAAGTAGACCCAAGCCTGTAGCTGTGAGTTTCTCCTGTCCCTTGGGGCTCTCTAACTTTGACTCCCCTCCATCCCCTGTCACCGTTTCCCACAGCCCCCAGGGTGGTGCTACTCTCCTCAAAACTCTGAAGCAGGCAGAGATCAAGTGCTCTCTTTTGATTCTTCTTTGAACAGCTGAGACAAGCTTTTCCTTTTTCCTCAGTTGCTATCGAGTGGATTCTGATTCATTGTGACCCTATCTGTGTCAGAGTAGAACTGCTCCGTGGGGTTTTCAGTGGCTGATTTTTTGGAAGTAGACTTCCAGGCCTTTCTTCCAAGGTGCCTCTGGGTGGACTGGAACCTCCAAACTTTGGGTTACCAGCTAAGCATGTTAACTGTTTGCACGACCTCGGGACTCTGAGACATGCTAAAATTTCCAAAATAACTTAAACATTTATGAAGAACAATACAGAAACAATACTGAAAGAGCACAGAGATTAAGAGTCCAGCTTCCAAAGCATCGGGTTCTGACTCTACAGCAAATACACACTGAGATCTGGTGAGAACTCATGCCACTTTGCCGGGTTTGGCTTTCCTTGCTTCCAGGCTGGCTGTGCTGGAGGGGACATCACACCTCCTGACACTTCTTTCTGGAACCCAACTGAAGTGCCATGATGAGGTGCAGATCTTTGTTGTGAGTGTATAATTATAACCTTAGCTTGACCCACCACCCTGGTAAACAAGTTAGCTAGATAGAATTTAAAACCTGAACTTGAACATGGTGATTCCTTTTAAGTGTTCTTTGTATTTAATTTGGTCATTTCTTTGATTCTTCATATCCTCATATAAAAGCGAACATAATGTACAAAGTATACATCTGCATATGTGACTTATGGAAGCAAAGTAGAAGAATTGGTTTTTACTCATGATTTATAAAAGTTTTCATTACTTCTTAGTTATATTTAGTATTTTGTGTGCTCTTATATCCTTTTGTTGTGTCAGTGCCCTCCAGCCAAAGACCTCCTGGAACACACCTGTAGTTGAACACTTTGGGCTTACTGCTCATTGCAGCGAAGGAGAACACACACCATGGGGAACCACAGGGATCCTCACTAAGAGGATGCTAGAAAGGACTTACATAGGATTGGGGATTGGTTTGGGTGATTTGGGAGAAAATTAGGAAAGCAACACTTTGCTCTGGATGTGATGCTGTCAGGAAGTGGGGGTCATCCTGTGATTGGGTGTGTTAGTAAATCTTATTATCTAGAAAGGAAGACTAGAGTGAGGCCAAAGCTGTCACTGGGAAAGACGCAGCAATCACTCACAATAGCCAGGATAGGTGCATATTTGGCCATTGTGTGCTTTGGAGGATGTTCATGTTTTTGTCTGTGCTCAGACAGGATTATGGAGTGACCTTGATTTTATCTTGATACACCATGATCACGGAGTGGCCTTGTCTGGTGTTGATTTCTGTGAAATTGTGTATGTTCAATAGGAGGGAATCCAGACCTGGCTGTGAGCCCCAGGTCAGCTCCTGGGAGCAAGGGCTGCTCATCTCTTTTCAATGGACATATGTCCAATGCCAGGGATATAGTTAAATCATCACTAATATCCATGGTAAGAGAAGAACAGCATCACCCCTGGGTACATGGGGTACCATGCCTTTGTTCAGCCTTGCCAAGGATAGTTTTTTGCTCCCTCTCTCCTCTCCCCACCTCTCCAAGACTTCTGCCCTGACTATAGACAATTCATTTACAAAAACGCATTGTGTCTCCCAGGTCTTCTCTTCTGTATTGGGAGGATGAATCTGAAGCCAGTAGGGTTCATGGACACAATGTATGGTCAGGACATTCATCCCCCTTCTTAGAAGCCTTTTTCCTCCATTTAGCTGTAATCTCCAACCTGGTTCATTTGACCTGTGCAGTAAACCTTCAACAGTCATGTGTTAGTGATGCTTGGTTCAGCTGTTGGATGTGCTTAAATTTGTGAACTAATAATAACACTTTCTACTATTTTTTGCATAATTGTTGTGTTCAAGGGACTTTATCAGGAACCCTAGTGGCACGACGGTTAAACACTTGGCTGCTAACCGAAAGGCCGGTGGCTGGAACCCACCAGCTGCTCCATGGGAGAAAAGACCTGGAGATCTGCTCCCATAAAGATTGCAGCCTAGGAAACCCTATGGGGCAGTTCTACTCTGTCACATAGGGTTGCTATGAGTTGGACTCAACTCAAGGACACATGACAACAGCAGGGACTTTACATATACTATTGGATTTAAATCACACTGCAAACCTTTCAGTGGGTCCCTGGGTAGTGTAAATAGTTACGTGCTCAACTACAAACTGAAAGGTTGGCAATTTGAACCCTCCTAGAGGTGCCTTGGAAAACAGGCCTGGTGATCTGCTTC